ACCTGAAAATTATGCCCCCATAGAAGGCTCCAGGTTAGCTTTTCACACTACTGGGAGGTGAAATACCCGCTCAGCTGGGTAACCCATGACACGATACCCACGCTGACCCTGGGAGAACTGCCTGAGTGCCCCAAGAGCCAGCAGAGACGCAGAGAAACCTTCCTCTTCCATGTCGAGAGCGTGACCTCAGCCTGCAGGCTGCAAAGGGAACAAAAAGCTGCGTGCCAAACAGCAGGCTGCCCTCGTAAAACGGGACCAGTTCAACGATTGTGCTGTCCTGGAGTCCCAGGCCAGTCCCGCCTGGCTTAAATAGCACCCCTGCCAGCTATTATCTTGAAGGACGCTCGTTATAGAAAATCACGTCCCTCTGCCAAGTTCTCATGTCTCACTATTTTTGGAACAACATGGGCAGGCTCTGCCTCAGCAACTGTCAGCAGAGCCATAGGCAAAGCAAATCCATATAACGATCAGGCTGACGGGAACAGCGCTGGGAACAGCATTGCCTGGGGGACAGTCCCCTGGAAGGACCCTTTGGTCATGAGAAAAGGGATAAGGGCAATAAACATAAAATCCAGAAGCTATTTGACACAATATTTGCATGGGAAGCTGATCTCCCCCGGCCCTTTTCATTCTCATGCATATGAGTGGAGACAAAAGGATTTAAAAGCAAACCACCTGTGCGGGAAGGATGGCTCCTAAACCCCGAAGAAGATATGACCCACTTACTGCAAACTCATTTTAATTAAAACATTCCAGGATTCACATTCCCCAGGATTACATTACTAACTTCGCTATTTATACATATAGCCTCTTTCACCCCTTCTAGGACAGTATTGTTGAGGTGTTGGATGACACCAGTGTCAGGTAAATGGAAACAAACACTTTTTTGGTGCTTGTGGCCCCTAAAGCAGGATCCATGATTATCCTCAGGTCCCACCACCTGTTGGCAACTCACAGATTACTGGAGCAGAAGCATAATCCTCTCTGACACTGAGGAATTATTCTAAGGCCCCAGAAAAAGCAGAGGTAAATGGCTTAGGCAAGGTGGAAAGCTCCCAAGGCAAGGCCTTCAAATAAAAAAAAGGTTTAAAAACCAGAGATGTGGTAAGCAAGGAAGACCTCCCACAGACTGCAGCTCGAGCAGGACTTAAACTCTCCCCCCTGCAATGGAGCAGCAGGACTTCTTCCTTGCCTTTCATAGGAAAGGAATCTGGAGGTACAAGTCCAAAACTGCCCAGCCCAGTGCTGGGCACACAGAGTGCTACATCCAGCCTCTGCCAGCCTGCTGGGCAGCTAGTATTTCCTCTTTAGGCTCTGAAAAAACTGTGACCCACAGCAGGCAGAGACAGCCCTTGCAGCTTCTACCACCTAGTGGCTGCAGGATTTGGCTGTGATGGAGCGAGGAGGCTGTCTGGAGGTCAGGAAGCCTCAGCCCACCCCCTGGCAAATAAGGCCGCCTTTGCTGGTGGGCATCACTTGTGCTGCATCTGAGACTAAATTAGGACCACACTGAGCACAGAGACAGCAGAGGAGAGAACAGAAAACCTTTCTGAAAACCATCAGTGGCAAATGTAAAAGCACAGAAAAACCTCAGCCAGCTCTAAAACAGGTGAGAAATAGTAGCAGCAATATAGATGAACTCAGGTAATGCTTTGCTTTTTCAGGTACTTGTGCCAGCTCAGCTAATCACAGAATGGGTTGGGTTGGAAGGGACCTTAAAGACTGTCTAGTTCCAACCCCCCTGCCATGTACAGGGACACCTTTCACTAGACCAGGTTGCTAGGAGTTCCATCCAGCCTGGCCTTGAACACTCCCCTGGAATAATGCTGCATTACTGGCACCACACGACACCACCCCATGCAGCATGGACATACCCTGGGCTCTTAAAGTCACCCCCAGGCTGATTAATTCAGGGGAAGAGTTTGCTGGTTCGGGTGGAACGTTTTACAAGACTCAGAATTCAAAGGGCTCCAGATTCAGCCAAGCCTCCAAGTACTTTGTCCTCAAACTGTAGCAGCATCTCATGCACTTCCAAGTATCTTCCTTTCTAGTTTCCACAATTTCCTGTTGAGCTGGGAGCGGGGAGGCCACAGCTGGACTCCCCTGTTCTAGGTACAGCCACATCAGTGCCAAGCAGGGGGCATAATGACTCTCCTGAGCTCGTGAAGCAGCCCAGTACATAATTTAACTCATGTGCCACGGGACTGCACGGCTGGCTCATACTGAACTCGGCATACACCTTAAGCCCTGGGTACCTTCCAGCTGGGCTACAACCCTGCCAGTTAGTCCCAGCCTGTCCTGATGCATCTTATGGGATCAGGCTCTGACTTTGCTTTGACAAATAATAAGAAGCCTCAAAGTGGCCAGTTCTTAAAAAATTCCTAACAGCAGGCCCGGTAAGTCATTATGTATCCAGGATCTCCATGGCAGACTCGAGTCATGCTTTGTTTTTTGTAACATGAACCATTAATACCACATTTTCACAGTCTGGGCTGTGAGTGTGATGTGGTTTCCATTAACTGCAAGTGAAACTAGGTTGTGTTTTGTGTAACCCTGATCCCCAATTCCAATATTTTTTAATATGGTTGCAGGCTGACATTTTGAAGAAGTGGTTACTCTTTTTATATATATAATGTTACAGATGTATGTATATATATATATATATATATCTTTTCTGCCAAGTTCTTGTCAATGGAGGGGATATCCCAATTCCATACACAGGATGAAAAGAAACTTTAAGTTCATATCAGCCTGGTTAGGCCCTCCTGGAAGGATTCTGTCCAGTGAATACCCTGCTGTTGCAACCATTTCTCCACTATAGCAAAAGGATTTAATTATGCTTTTATAAGCAATTTAAATCTGGTTATTCCAGATTGAAGTGGGTGTCACCGAGTGCAGACCATGGGCAAAAGGCATCATGAGCCTCGTTAGCCTGAAATCTATCTTTTTTTTTTTTTTTCCCCCCCGCAAACCCTTCCCTTTTTGATTTTGTTTATTATTGGGTGAAAGTGGTTTTCTCTTACAAACAATCCAGACAATGAAGCAAAGTGGGATTCAAGTAAAAGAGGAACCTAGGAAAGACTGGAAATAGCAGGGTCCTGCTAAAGCACCACTCCCTTGGCACCATTTCAGAGACTGACCAGCTCTGTGTTCAGGGCACCAAGGGTTGAGGGGTTCTTCCCTCTGCTCCTCTGATGACCAGCTGGTCCAGAAATTCCTGTTCTGGGCTGCTCTACTGTTTAGCAACCTCCTTTTCATTTCCTGTCTAACTGTATCCATGGCCAGTCTAGACTCATTTAATCTTAGCCAGAATCTTGACAGCTTTGTTTCCCTCCTCAGTGTTCGACATCTGCAGACATCAATCAGATCCTCTTTTTGCTTTCAATTTGCTAGTCCAAATAGGCCGAGTTCTTCCCTTTTCTTCCCCTTTGCAAAAGGCTCTGCAATTACTTCATCAGCCCAGAAGACCTTGTCTGCACCCACAGTAGATTGCATTCATTTTTCTGAACATGACAGACGGCACTCACACAGTGACCTTAAATCTTGCTTAAGTTCATGGGAAACACTCTGAACAGCCCAGGAGAACACTTGTTATTTTCACATCTACACTGCAGCTCAGTGAGCAAAGCCATAGCAAAGGGCACAGCAACGAGGGGCAAAACCCACTGGTATCCCACATTTGACCTCAAACAGAACACATCAATACTGGACATTTCTGGTATTTCAGGAAAGGCATTTAAACTGGGACAGGCATTCAAAGTTGAAATATTATTAAATAAAATAGGAGTTTCTTTGGTTACTAGTGACAAGTTTTGCTTCTGCTATACAGCCCAGGTGCTCTGTGAACCATGTGAGCTGTGCATTAAAAAAAAAAACCCAACACAAACCATGCCATTTCTATTACGTGAGTCTACCCAAAGGCTCCACCCTCAATGAGCGTACTTCTTCAACTCCAGAGCTGGCTGTTGCATCACCTCACTGAAAAGAGAAATGGGTGGGTGGCAGGATGCATTTGTCTGCTCTTTTTTTTTTTTTTTTTTCTCAAGTATTTTGGGTTTATGTAGGAGCAGTGAAGCCACAATTAAAAGGGCAAGTTTCTCCTGCCTCTTCTCAGAGGAAAAAAGAAGCTCTACTGCCATTTAGCAAAGGACAAAATACAACTGGAAAGGAGCCCAGGCAGTTGGGAAGAGCTACGCTGCACAAAATGCTTCAGTCCTAATAACAGCTTAGCTGAGGGACTGCCAAACTCACCTTGCTGGTGCAGGGTTGTGGCCACTGCCTCCACCTCAGCTGCTCCTCCCTCCACCACACCAGCAAGGGGCTCCCACCCACAAGCACACCCCAGATGAGGCTCTCAGCTGGGCAGGCAGTGCATGTGCAGTCCTTTACTGAGGTACACAAGGCACAGGTGACAGTAATGCTGCCACTGGTCTTCTCCACACAAGAAGAAATACCAGCCATACATGGAGCTGACTCAGTGTCCACCCGTGTCGGTCAGACCCTTTCCAGTAACCCCAGAAGGATTTTTTTGTTCAGTTCTGACCAGTATACAAAGGCTGGCAGAGACAGGAGGCTATCCCTGCTTCCAAGCACAAATCTGAGTTTCCTGAAAATTCAATGCAAACACAGTGCTGTTAAAATTCAGGCAGCACCAGAGCAGAGCTTGAGGTCTCACAGCAACCAGAGGACACTGTAGATCTGTAGACATTTGCACATATGCATTTGGAAACATTCAGTGGTTTGGAGATGTTTCTAGGGAAGACCTTTGTGTCTTACCAATTTGCTGGGGATCTTAGAACGAGCCAGGATTTTGTTTGCCAAATGCCCAGCAGATGTCAGAGGTGGAATATAGCAGAGTGCTCTGTTCACCCTCCAGCAGAGAGCTTTCTCCTGGGTCTAAGGTGGACATTTATAATGGGCCAGGGGCCAAATATACAGCTGAGTGCTTCATGCCAGCCAGTGTCAGGAGGAGGGCTGTCCACTGCCTGGGTTATACTTACAGGAGTCTGGAAGCAACAGTAGAGCTTGGTGAGGAATGGGTGGTTCCTTGCTAAGGAAAGGATGCGTTTCTCAGTCATGGTACATTCAACATCATCGTCCTGGAGAATGACGTCCTTCTTCAACACCTTCACCGCATAGAGCTGCCCACTCTCTTTCATCTTGGCAAGCATCACCTAAACCAAAGGGGAGGGTGAGTGGCAAGGGCTGAGCCCTCGGTCTCTGAGCAACACGGGGCCTCTCGCACCTTCTCACACTGGAAAGGTCAGTCATCTCATGACCAGGCTTGTGGATGGAAGTGAGTCAGCCTGTTAGTCTGGGCATCAGTGTACAATCAATGACACATGCTACTGCCTGCAGCAGGCTTCTCTGGACAGAAATACCCACAACACGCTGCTCCAATGTCTGGCACAGGGACAGCCGGTCGAAGGTCACCCACTGGGCCAGGACAAACTCCCTGGGCAGTGCCATTCATCCCCATTCCCTCCTCAGTTATCAAACCCAAATGCACCACTTCAAATCAGCTTTGTGGTGAAGCAGAGAAACAAAACCCCCATCTCACCACACTTGAAACCACTGTCTTGTTTCCTTTAAAGGAGAAGTCTTTACATGCTCCAAGAAACGCTGCCCAAACGAGTGCTAACACACACACACTTGCAACTCTTGGTATGGGCCCTGGCATGCAGCTGTTCCTTCAGGTGCTAACTTCTTTCTTTTCTATGATATCCGCTTCTTAACTTTGCTGTCAACTTCCCTTTTCTCCCTGCTCTCTGTAAATAGCTTTGTTGGACAAAGTAAGTACCACTTAGTACTTGCACTGGAGTACCACTGGACAGCCTGTGTGCCATGTTATGAAGCAACTTCACCTACCTTGGAGCTTCTTAAATAAGGAATGTGGTTTCCCACAAAAGAACCACGAATAACTCTCACCTTTCCAAAGCTTCCCTTTCCCAAGACACGAAGGAAGGTCAAGTCTTTGATCCCAAGTTTGCTCTCTGAACTCTCACTAACATTGTTGCCATCCTTCAGGCTGCCTTTTCCCTGATGTCTCAACGTGGGTCTTGAAACCAGTTTCTGTGGAAGAAAGCAGAGAGTCACAGAATCACAGAAGTATCAGTCTGCACAGAAATGGTACTTCTGACTCAGAGGGGGTCACAGATGGTCAACCCACCAACATGGGCGTTTGGGACCTGACCAGGGGCACTGTGTGGCCACTGGAACAGAAAGTGTGCTGGTACCACCACCCCACAGAGCTGCCATGTGTGACAGGCCAAACTCAGCACTGCTCAGGGATGTGCTGAGACGTCAGTGCCAGCTCCTGACCTGACTCTCTCCATCCTCACTCCCTGTCTAACAGCAGAGCAAGGAGAACTCCATAACTTCTGCAGTAGGTGAAGTGCTGGCGAGATCTAGAACCAGAGCAGATTTCATCTGAATTTCTCAGGTTTCCACCTGATTTTAAGACTCTTACTCAAAGCTCAGTTCAGCACGACCCAAACATCAAAACCTGTTTCTTTCCCACATCTGGGCTGCTGGTTTCCTCCACAGCTGTAAATTCGATGGAAAGCTGTTCGTTCCCACGCCAGCAGTGAGGTGCTGCATATTCAGGAATTCCACCAGTGAATTGTACCAGTGTTAGCACACATTTATAGATCTCGAACACAAAGATTAAGTCAGCCTCCGGTGCCCTCAGTTCACAGCTCTCCAGGTATGTGTACGCATACAAACGAGCACTCTCTCTCAGTTTATTACTCTGAACCAACTCACACGGACTTCGTGAGCTCCATCTTGTGACTGCTTTGGTGTACAGCAACGTTCCTCCTGCACAGGAGACTTGTCACCACAGGGAAAGAACCAAGAGCATTCATAGAATGATAGAATGGTTTGAGTCAGAAAGGACCTTAAAGATCATCTTGTTCCAATTGCCACGAGTAGGGACACCTTCCACTAGACCAGGTTTCTCAGAGCGCCATCCAGCCTGGCCTTGAACACTTCCAGGGATGGGGCATCCACAGCCTCTCTGAGCAACCTGTGCCAGGGCCTCACCACCCTCAGAATAAAGAATTTCTTCCAAAGATCTAATCTAAATGTACCCTCACTCAGCATAAAGCCATTCTAGGGCTGTGCTTAAGGCATACATTTTCCTGGACCTTTCAGCTCACAAATAACAAGAAGGGATCATTAAACACCAAACACAGATTTTTTTTTTTTTTTCTGGTTTTGGCTCCTTTTGATGTGCAGATGATGCAAACAACAAATGTTAACAAGTGCTGATTTTTGCAGAACTGAGGAAGGAGTGTGGGACTTGTGCTTCCTGGTAACTCCCAGGATAACTGTCCCCCTGAACTGCTACAGCAGGAAGAGTCAAGAAAAGACTGTCTGCTACGAACCAACTGAAATCCAAAGGGGCAGCACAGCCCAGTGAGCATTCTAGGCTGATACAGCATGATGTGGTTGATCAATGAAGCTGACTAACTGTATGACAAGATTTACCACGTCTGGGAATTACATTTTGGGTTTTAATATTTTCTTTTTTGGTCAAATAAATATAAATAGACTGAAGTTTTATTATGGGTTAGTGTGGTCTCAAGAAAACTCACTTTTCCAAACTGCTCACAAAGGAAACATGATGAAAACTGACCTGTTATCAAATGACAGCTCTGGTTTCCATTACCAGCATTTTCACTTAAGTTCTTACAGTGTGTTTTAAACTCTATGAACAGATTCAGATATATACCAGTTGGATTTTTAGGATGCCTTGGAGTGCTGACAAGCAGAAATTGTACAAATAAAATCTGTACAGATAAGTCCCAGCCCTGGCAACAATCTCACAGGGACCCTGTCTCAGACAGCTAAGACCAGAGATCACAGAATCATAGAATGATTTGGGTTGGAAGGGACCTTAAAGATGATCTAATTCCAAGCTCTCTGCCATGGGCAGGGATATCTTCCATTAGACCATGTTTCTCAAAAGATACTGCGTTGACAGGGACCACAGATTTTTAGCCAGAGAAACTGTAGTGAAGAGTGAAATGGCTTCCCCAAGAATACTCAGAAAAACAGGGATGGAGCTGGGAAGAGAACTAGGCCTCTTGCTGAGCTCTTGTTTTGCTCTGTCACAAGCCACACATGCAGACAGAGCATTTGTGCTTGCAGTGAAAGTGAAAAAAAATGTATTGCATGAATTATATTGACCGCTAATTATTTAGGGGCCTTATTCTCCTCTCATTCACGACAAACAGATAAAAGAGTGAATGGAGTCACAGCACTGTGAAACATAAACATACAGCAAAGAAACACCTATAGATTAAAGGCTGCACCAGGGTAAACCTGGATATCAGGCATCCATTTTCCAGGTAAAGCCTTTGCCAAAAGCCACAGACGGTAACAACCTGCTCCTGCATTTCACCACCCAACACCACCTGTCCTAACCAAAGTCTCTGCACCCATAAACAGGCTCAGCTGTAAATGTTTAAAATAGAGGAGGAAAAGGCCAAAAAAAAAAAAAAAGACTCACCGAATTTGGGGAAATGCTTCCTGGTTGCAGACCCATGCATGCCAAGGTTTTAGCAAGCTCTGCTGAGTTCACTCCACAGTTCGGAGCAACGTTTGCCTGGCACCGGATGTGGACGTTCATTTTACAGACTGACACGGGTGATGGGAGGGATGGAAAGTAAAAGCAAAGGAACAATTTAAATAGCTTGGAGGGATTTAGCGCTGAGAAGTAATTTAGCAGTTCTGCTTCAGGAAATATACTGATCTGGATTTACCCTGTATCTTTAAACTTGAGGGATTTTTGTCACTGATCTAAGCAGTAGCAAAATTAGGACTCTCATAAGAGAATAAAATCCTGAAAATCAGGAATAGAACCCAACCTCTCCAAGAAGGATGCCACATTGCCTGAAGCTATTCATTAGCACGCATTTTTGAGGTACCTAACAAGCATTGCAGCTACGCCTGTAGGTACAATTAGTATTTATAATGTCACAGGATTTGCAACAAACATCCCCTGCATTTTCAGACATTCAATTTGAAAGACAGTGTTCAGTGGGAAGCAAAAACCATTCTTGCTCTAATTCATGCGCACACACACACCCTCTTGTGGGAGATGAAGGCAAATGGAGACTGTTAGGATTTTACAGTCTGGATCACTCTAACAAAAACATAACACCAGGACATGCTTTGTCATCAATTAACAGACAGGGTAGTCAGCCTAAAGCAATGACCTCTTTTTCCACTCCAATGCCTTTTCATTGCCTTATCTCATTAGCTGAGGAAAAACCTTCAGGTAAAGGGAAAATATGAATGCAGGAAGCAGAATATTTTTAATAATGCAAGTTAAACAAAGCTGTGCTGAGAGTGCAAAGTAGAGTCCTTCTGGCGGCCCGAGATTAAAAAGCAGATCAGAGGTTTTTTTAACTCTTACAAAGATGAATATTCATTGCTCAGCTTTCTCTTCAAGGTTGCACAAATCAAGCCCACATGGTGCATCAGGAGTCTAAAAATAAATGTATTTTGTGAAAAGGCAACAGTGAGGAGCTGCTCACTTTTACACTGTAGACCCTGTCGCATGATTCCCCAGAGCAAGGACCCGCAGTGGTCACAGAATGTCGGGACTTTGTAGTTGTGGACGCTGAACTTATGAGGAATGTTGATTCCAAACCTCTGTTCGGTCACCTGAGGTACCGGAAGAAAAGCACAGGTTTAAAATTCAAATACATATGTATAAGCTGATGTTCATGTACATACAGGCATTTCAGTGCAAAACTAAGGAAGTAATTCCGAGTCAGAAAATGTCCTGATCCACCACCTCGCTGAGTGAACACTGAATGACCAGCCTCACCTGCTGTGAGCCAGGCCTGCTCTCCTTGGCTGGACTGCCTGGCAAAGCAGATTTTAAAATTAGGGCTTAAATTCTTAAAGCAAAGTTAGAACTGAAAGTGTGGATTACCTCATCACAAGCCAATCCCACTGCAGTGTGAGCTACAGTAGTTTGTAACCACGCAGTTTTCAAATTACTGACTTGCATACTATGTGCAAAAATGTAACTTTAGGTCAAACTGTTGATTTTATTAAATTTAATATAGAATAGCTTTTGCACCTCTTCCTAAAATTCTCAGTCCTCTTCTCACCCTCCTCGTTATTAACAGGCTTTCCTTTCAGCCACACATTTCATTTTATCACTTGCTCTCATCCCCTTTTTAACCTTGTTCTTTTCCAACTCTAAATCATTCAGATGTCAAAGACACCTTTAAAAATGTTCCATCGCCTGAAGAAATCAGCCCCCATTTAGCAAATTCATCACTTCTGACTTTGTTTCTCAACATTCAGATCCTGGAAGGCTGAAGAGGAACCCACAACTCCATAAAGAAAAGTCAGGGGTGTGACTGGAACAACAAGTTTAAAGTGAACAGTGCCTCCTCACCTTTGGCTTCTTTTAAAGTAGCTTAATTGTGTTATAAATCCTTCATAATCCTGAGAGAGGGGCGAGGACACTCACTATTTAACTTGCACTTTACCTTTAGGCATTTTAACTTATTTTGATCTGGCTTGTCTTGGGGTTGTCTTAAGAAGTTCAGCTCACCAGTTTGAAAAAAGAAATAACAAAAAAAGGCAACTGCATGGCACAAAATACAGAGCTGCCTCACGAATAAAGAGATTTTACTTGATTACCTCAGTTATTAAACAATTTCCAGTTACAGAAATGAGACATGCAGTGCACAGGCACAGTTTTAGGTGGGGATGTTACTCCCATTAAATACAGCTAAAACTAGCAAGAAAGAAAACCTTCAGAAACACAAGTTATGCAAGGGTTCTTTGTCACAACATACAGACCAAAGGTGTGGAGCAATGACTAAATGGGCACTTCAGGTTACCAGAAAAGAAAAAAAGAGGCATAGCAAAGACTGGTGGTAGGCCAGAGAAACCCACATCAAAAAAACAGGCACCAAATTTTGATTGCACCACAGTTAATCAGGCAAGAAAATTACCAAGGAAAAGAGTGGATTTGCTTGATGTCTTCCAGTGAAGACACTCGAACTTCCGAAACCATGTGCTAGTCCAAACAGTTATTGGCATCAACAAAAGAACAACCGGATGACAATGCTTGGCCTTTACGTGTCACTAACGCTCTTTCCCACTTTTAAAATCCATGAATAATGACAACAGAGTAAATTCTGTTATAGGGCAACCCCGGCAACCCCAGCAACCCCGAAAACCCCAGACAAAGCATGATGACCCAAAATAAGCAGCGTGACTTTACCTTGAGATCGGTCTTGTTAGTATTGTTTTGGCACGTGCAAGCTGTAACAATTAGGTGGTGGCAGCGCTTGTGTACAACACAGGTGCATACTAGGAAACAAAAGAGGCATGCTGAAAAGAGCTCTTGAAAGACTCAGGACACGTCAACCCACCAGCTGGGTTCTTTAGGGCTCAGCTGTACCAACAGCACACAGTAAAGATGAGAGAAATAAGTGTGTAATCGGTGTCTTGGAACTGACAAAATCTCCTAACGGATCTGGAGATGTATCTTTAACCCACTGGAACAGAAATTCTGCACTGGATCATTCATACAGCCAAGAAAAAGCTGCCTATACAAAACAAGGGTGATGCACGCAGAAACAACAGTGTAATTTCTCAAATGAACTGAAAAAAATGCTGTCGAAGTAACTATCCACTGAAGAGTGTTTCACAAAACATACAAACCCCATCTTGGAGAACACAGGTCTGAGATACCCAGAGTCATCCCTGCATATCAGTGCCATTGTGCCTCTTAGGCTGGGTATGCAAGTGCCCAGGTTAGTTTGTCCCTGAGGCTCAGTGCAATGCTTGGGTCTGGGAAGCTGGATAACTGCTGGACAACTGCAGCAAAATGGGGCAGTGTCTAGCCCACTTAGTTAGTCCCTACCAAGAGGTCTAATCAGCCCTAAACCTGAGCTGGGCTCCCTTCAAGTCTGAAGATGGCTTGGCTGGAACGAACCTGGATTCTTTCATTCCATAACCCAGAATCTGCTGTAGACATCACTAAGACCCGTAGCCAATGTCTGCATAAGGAGATTTTCGTAGTGGTAACAGCAAACAGCAGATATTTTTCAGGGTCTCACACTATTCTGTTTGTTGCTTTAAGCTTTCACTCATGAAGGGCTACCAGTAACATTCACTTCCACCCAGATATTTTATGCAGTATATCCATTTTGTTTATGTGCAGCTTCCTTTCATATGAGGACACCAATGCCCTGTTATATTGCACGAGAAACAGGCTGCATTAGAAAGCTGTAATCAGTGACCACACACCTGTGAAGCAGGTAATTCTGGGTAAAAGGGAGAGGAAAAGGCAAAAAAAGGGAAAGGCATAACAATAATTAAATGCAAACAAGCACCACATACATCTGTACAGCCATTCAGCCAAACCATGCATTCAGACAAAAGTGCTGTGCCAGCCCGCAGCACTGCCCTTTGAAGTCACAAAATCCTTAATTTTACTTCATTTGAACTTCATAGAGAGAGAAAGGAAGAGGGTGGCCATTCCAATAGGGCACTTTGTGTCACAATACCCTCTGAACATGTCCTGAAGGGACCCCGGGTGCCTCAAGCCTATTGTTGGGTGCTGCATGTAGTCAGCAACTCAGTGGATCCGCACAGGATGAAACCAGACCCCCAGGTGTCTGCAGAGATGTCAGTGGTTGCTCCTGCATGCATGCTAGCCTGACAGATGCTCAAATGCACAGTTTTGGCTGGGTGGGGAGGAAGAGGGGTGGTGACTTTAGAGGAGCTTGTAACTGCAGGATGTCCCCACAGCATGGGAAAGCGCTCCTGAAACAGCACATCCTACACACACACATACACACACACACACTGCAGGAGTGGAGCACCTTACCTTGGCACTGGTATCCCTGCTTCCCAAACACGCCCCTGTTCAAAACAACGCATGAACATAATTTAGCGTCAGAAAGATGGTCATCTGGCAGGTTGTTTACAAAAGAGAGAGCCAAAATGCAAGAGGATGCCAAATGATCAGATCCCAGGGCAAAACTGCCCAGCAGTAATGGTGCAATCCAGCACAGGGGGTGTGAGAGCACAGGAAAGCACTGCACAGGCCATGGCTTACGGGGCATGCTGTCAACATGCTTGTATTCCCCTTGTTCCCCCTCACTCTAATTTCTCAAATACCTCACTTCATTACAACACACACCACACATATTAAGACAGATCCCAGCAGCCCACACCCTGTTATTATCTCTCCCACTCCATGTTCTTTTGAGACATATCTACCTTTTTCTCCCTGCTCTGCCTACTCCTCCGCATGCATCACCCCACACCTCACAAGTCTGACGGCTTTTCTGTTCTCAGGAGTTTTCTCTAAAATTTCAAGCAACCGTTTTTTTTCCTCAGTGCAATCTCAATGCTCCACTCCAGTTAATATCTGGGGTCTTTCTGCAGGTTGCCTCAGTTACTTTTTTCCCCCTTGAAATAACATCTGTGCCTACAAGGCAGGAACGCTGCCTCATCCCCACACTACTCCAGTCTGTTTCCAACATCCAAGATACACATCCCCCCCAACCCCAGCCTCTCTGCAGTAGACTCTGGTTTGCAGCACAAACCTGCCCTGCTAAACTCAGTGGTCAAGGGGTGTCACAACTGGCAGCCCTCAGTAAGGTGCCGGGTGACTGGCTCAGGACTGGGGGTGGCATGTGGGTCCCCAGGGATGGGAGGCTCCAGAACGTCGAGCTTGAGCCGTCCTTACCAGATGAACTCCCTGCAGTGTGAGCAGTACGTTGGCTGTCGCAGGTAGGTGGCCATGAACTTGTGCCCGTTCACCTGGTGCACTCGCCTTCGCATCGCCCGCTGGCGCTTCCGGGTGAGGTTCTTAAAAATCCGATCCCTCTGCAGAGTCCCTGTGCAGGGGGGTGGGTAGGAAGTGAAAAAAAAAAAAAAAAAAAAGGGGGGGGGGGCAAAAAAATATTAACATCATCACACACAGTTAGTACTCTTGGTTTTGCTACGGTGTTCAACTCGGGCCCCCAGCATAAGGAGAACATGGAAGTGCTGAAGCAAGTCCAGAGGAGGCCACAGAGATGATGCAAGGGCTGCAGCATCTCTGCTGTGGAGACAGGTTGAGAGAGCTGGGATTGTTCAGCTTGGAGAAGAGGAGGCTCTGGGAAGACATCAGATCCCCTTTCAGTGCCTAAAGGGGCTACAGGAGAGCTGGAGAGGGACTTTTTAGAAGAGCATGGAGTGACAGGACAAGGGGAAATGGATTTAAACTGAAAGATAGGTTTAGATGGGATATTTTGAAGAAAGTGATGACCCTGAGGGTGCTGAGACACTAGCATGGGTTGCCCAGTGAAGCTGTGGATACCTCATCTCTGTAAGTGTTCAAGGCCGGGTTGGACAGGGCTTGGAGCAACCTGGGATAGTGGAAGGTGTTGCTGCCCATGGAAGGGGGGTTGGAACTGGATGATCTTTAGGGCTCCTTCCAACCCAACCGTTCAGTGGTTCTATTATAAAATGCTTTTAAAAGCCATAATTGCATCTCTGGTTTAAAAGTTGGGAGATCATGGTCTAGAACAAGGATGGCATCTGGGACTGGTACAAAAGTTAATTGCAAAGGACCCTTTAGCTCAAAATTACACTTTTCATGTAGAAATAACTGCCTTTTCCTGTCTTCCTCTCACTCCTCTCCTATATTGAGACATGTCACTAACCTATTCATTTACAAGCTGTAAACAGACAGGAAGCTTAAGGCTAAAGAGTTGTCATAACTCACAGCTTTTTGGGCAATAAATCCTGAAAACATGACTACATGTAACCAAATGACCAGCACCCCACCTGCTGAGCCAAAGCAGTGCCTTGCTTGGTGAACAGTGTTATACCTTTGTTATTCTCACACTACATTTCTGTATCACCATTTGCAGCACTTTTGCTTCCTGTATTATATAAAAAAGTATAGGCTACTTTTTCAGTGACTGTTAGTTGTTTGATATGTGCCACAATCAGCTTTCTTTAAAGTGTTCATTTTCCGAAGGTTTGATAATATTTTACAGTGCTGGAAAGCAGGGAGCCAGGAACTGCTGACATTCAAATCTGAATTGTCCCAACATTTACTTTCATTTCAGAAAATAACAGACTATTTCAGTTGTAAGGGACTCACAACAATCATCTTGTCCAACTGTCTGACTACTTCAGGACAGACCCAAAACTAATATATTTCAAGAGCACTGTTCAAATGCCTCTTAAACACTGACAGGCTGAGGGTACTGACCACCTTTCCAGGAAGCCTGTTCCAGTGCCTGACCAATGTCTTGGTAAAGAAATGCTTCCTAATGTTCAGACTAGACCTCCCCTGGCACAATTTAATATCACAATTTAATTATCTATCAGTATAATCTAATTTCTTGCTGGGTTTAGTTCAGCCATACAACAATTTCCTAGCAAAGCTCAATTTACACAAAACAAGTGACTCCCAAAAGGCAGAACTGAGCTCTACATCAAGAAAGCCATTCCCGTTCGGCAGCAGCCATCTGACACGCACATCCCAGCCAGCTGGTCTCTGGGACCCTCACACAGACCAGGTGAGGCTCAGCTGAGCTTCCCAGATCAAAGCCTCATCTGGGGCACACTTGCCTCAGAGGAAAGAAATGCATTTTGTGGTTTTCCACTCAGTTGCTTTGCAAAGTAAAGGCCCTGGAAACCAGGGCGTTCTGGGGACACATACTGGAGTCTTCTAGATGTGATTGTGCATCAGGACTCCTGCTTTGAGCCTGGACTGGATGCAGGACAAAACCCAGCTCTGGCCAAACCCTCTGCATGGATATAATGACATAGGAAGGGACGGGCTGTCTGCAAACTTCCCACCCATCGGATCATCCTGGAGCAGTGGATGGGCAGCAGTACCCAAACACAGCTGTCACCATCCCGCTTATCTACCCACAAAAAGGGGGCAGAGCAATTCCCTGCTTTCAACTAACTTTGTTGATTAACTGCCAGAGGGGAAAAATAGAGGAAAAGCTGTCAACATGATCAAGGCTTGAAATGCAGGAGTCCCACATCACAGGCATATTTCCCAGTCCTCTTTGTAGGAGTGGAGATAAGGGAAACCATCCCGTCAGTACTGAAGGCAGCCACTTCAAGGGGCCATGAGCCACACGATGTATTCCTCTCTGTGCTCTCGCCACACAAGTTTAGAAGCAAAGCCAGCCATAAAGCTCAAGGAGTTTTTTTCTGCTGTTTCCTCCGAGCCCTTCGTGGGTTCGTCCCCTCCACAGGCACTGATGGAAACCCCCTACCTGATGGCACAACTGTGACATGGAGCACGGCTTGACTTTAGGACAGCTTGGATTTATTTTTAAAATGGAAGCACATGCTATAAATTAGGATTTTCCCATTAAAACACACAAGTAAAAAAAGGATGTGGTAAGGGTAATCCGAGCACTTAACAAGCAGATGGGCAGGGACTGGTGCAGGAGAGCCTGCCTTTCTAGGGCAGTGCTTAAAACATGTGTTTGATTCCCACTGAGGTCAACAGGATTCAGGGGACCACAGGAATTGCCAGATTGAGTCAGAACATTGATCCACCTAGTTCAGCATCCTGCCTCTGTCAGTGGGCAACCAGAAACACATGAGAGGAAGATGGAGGAACTCTGCAGCTGGGAGATAATTTGCCTCTGTCCCACACTCAAGAGGTCATTTTGATCTCCAGAAGCGAGAGCTGATTTGCATAGGTTTAATATTCCTTTCAAACATTGTTATTGCACAAGTTCAACAACCTCGTTATCTACCAAAGGAAAGATGCCTGAGAAGAACTTCAATAGGTCAACCAGACCATCCCTCTTCCCTAAAAGGGAGATCAAGAGCCAGTTGCTTTGCTGAGCCAGAGCCTCCTGCAACTTCACGTGAGAATCAAAAAAAATAACAAGAAAAAATATTCCTTACAGTATTACAGAGTTTGCCCAACTTCAAATTCAAGAGAGCATCTCTTTGATCTAGGTTTAAGCAAGCAGCTTTTTTCTTGTTTTCCCAGATAATTGCCAAACACCTCAGCTGCAAAAGTATCCTGTACTGGTGTTCAGCATGTACAGGAGAACTTCTGAGGCATGGAAGGAGAAGCACAGGGTCTGTGAGTGCGTGGTGAGCATGTAAATAAATCACCTAAAGAAGGAATCCAGTTACCATCTTGCTTCATACCAGCTGCGCCATTAGAAGCCCAGCAGCTGATGCCCTTGAAGTTCCTGCACTCACATTTAGCAGAGTTTAAGAGAATATGTTCCCAATTTAGCTCATGCAGTTTCTGTGGGTTTTTTACGGTTCCCATTAAGGAGCAGCATGGGGTGATCACCTCCCTGGTGCTCTCCCATGCAGCAGAGCCCACACACAGCCAAGAGAAAACCAATCCTCTGCACCAAGAATTGGGGACACTTGGACATGGCCTGCAAAGCCACTGCTGTGCACCCCCGTGGTTTGCCTGGCTTCAGACACACTGTAACTTTGGAACAGTTCATGAAAATTGACAGTCACTTGTGTTTTCATGGGCAGCAGAAGTCTCCATGCTGCCTGTACTGATGGATCACATCCATGGCCAGCCTAGAGCCTTCTCTTCTGAGCTGCACTTGGCCTCTACCTCCTGTTCTCCAGCCACCAACATCTCACACAGGACAACAGGTTCTGTCTTATTGATTCACTTTTCATCAGAACACATGCCACAAGTTGGGTTTTTTTCTTTACTAAAAGCATAACTCATACTTCAAACATTACTCGAATTTCACATTTTCTCATGCTGCTTGGCTGTGTTACCCTGCTAACTCCGTCCAGATGCTGCACATCTTCCAGGTGATCCTCACCCATGATTACGTTCACTTCATGTTACATTATAACAAATCTAAGTGTTACTAAGCAGGAGAGTGACTTCAGCAAGACCTGGATTACTTTTCATATGCAACCAACTCTTTTGGGCACTACTCTTCCCATTTCCTGGTGCTGACTCAAGTGAAAAGGGGAGGGAGAGCCCAGCACAACCTCAGCCATACCTCAGGCCCAGGTGTAGCTTCAGGAGACCCTTTGATCTAGTGGACCTACATATACAACCACATCCCACAGAATAAATCCCTCTCTCTCAGGGCTTGGGCACTCATGCATCCCACACACCACACCGTGGAGCAGGAAGGTTCAGCCCTCCAACAAGGTGCAAGAGATTTTGAAATGGTGGAACATATCGCTACGAAAACCTCCTTCCTCCCAACCACCACCCTCTCCAGTCACCAGGAAAGCAGTTCCTCAGCTCACACCCATCACATCTGTTAAACAGGTCCCAGCACTGCTGAGGGAGAGTCTGCAGAAACCTTCCGTCAACACAGCACTGAAGTCTGCTGGTGGCAAGGCTGAGCCAATTTGTATCGTTCAGCCTGGAGAAGAGGCTCTGAAGTGACCTTATTGGAGCCTTTCAGTACCTGAAAGGAGCCTACAAGAAACATGAAGAGGAACTGTTTACAAGGGCATGGAGTGATAGGATAAGGGGGGGAATGGCTTAAAACTGAAAGAGAGTAGGTTTAGATGGCATATTAGGAAGAAATTCTCTATTGTGAGGGTGCTGAGGCAACTGGCACAGGTTGCCCAGAGGAGCTGTGGAAGCCCCATCCCAGTAAGTGTTCCAGGCCAGGTTGGATGGGGCTTGGAGCAACCTGCTCTAGTAGAAGGTATCCCTGTCCACAGGTGGGGGGTTGGAATGAGATGATCTTTAAGGTCCCTTCCAACCCAAACCCCTCTGATTCTGTGACAGGCTGGCCAATGCAGCAGTCCTTTGTGCCTCTCACCTTTGATGTCAGAGAATACAAAGCCATCAGAGACATTTTTCCCCGCTCATATTTTGCATTCTGGCCAGTTTCCTATAGGATATAT